GTGGCCTGGATGGAGCCTTCCCGCCTGCGAGGCTTCAGTCTCTATCCATGTGGATGGCCCTCTGTAGCTTTGAACTCCTCCCCTCCCCTTCTGACTTGGGGTTCCTGCCCTTGATGATTGTAGGGTGGCTTCGCACTGCTGTGGTTATGGCTCTTGAACTGATTAATAATGCTCAGAATGAAATTGTCGTCTTGTGAGTAAGACAAATCTGTAGCTCATTCAGCCTCCTGGGTACTGGGTACGCCTCCTGCTCCACACTCCTATTACCCAGCTTCAGTTCCCTGTACCCTCCCAAAGTTAATTCTGATGTTTCACGCTCATGCCAAGGAGGAAACTTAAAATCAGAGGAGGACATGGCTTTGGTGATGCCACAGCACCAAAACACTCAGCTTTCAGCTCCCTGGAAGAGTAGCCTTTCCCACGGAGCACCCCTGGCCACCTCCCAGGAACCCCAGCTCCTGCGTGGGACCCGTGGCTGCTCTTCTGGTATCCTCCATCCTCACCCTTGTGAACAAGCAGGGTCTGAGTAGGAGGAGGCTGGTAGGGGAGCCTCACTGGTCCCTGATCACATGGGTGGGGCATTGACTGGAAACAGGAGATGGAAAACTATGAATTTTCATGAGTAGATATCAAGATTTGTCATCTGACCTTGACATTTATCCAGAGCTCTGCAAAAGCAGATTACTGAATGTTCCAGTCTCACATGTGTTTCCCTCCAAAACCAATTTTCTCATCTCACTGCTGACTGCAGTCTTCTCCGGAAAGTGGTTCATGGCTGAGAGTGTGTTTGAGGTCAGGGAAACCATTTATATCACGGGCCTTCCCTTGCCCTGCCTCTGCGGGATGAAATGTGCATCCTCTCCTGGCTGGGTCCTCCCCTGGGCCAGTGGGGGAGACACAGCACCCCTCCCCCCACTTCTGGGAGCCGGTGATCCAGGATAGACTTATCCTTAGTCAGACCAAACATACAGACCACACGGCAGTCTCGGAACAAAACTGTGAGTGAAACAAGTAACAATGGCTGTGCTGAGCAGGGGGCTCGCTGCGCGCCATGATTGGGGTGAGAGCATCTGCACCTTTCTTCTTCCGACTCCACGTAGCACTGTCCTTTCCAGCTCCATCCATGTTGTTGCAAACAGTGTGTCTAGGGAATTAGAGTAGTGAGGAAGATGGCCGCCGGGTGAGGGGGAGATACTGGGGGTAACAGGGGCCACAGGCACAGAGCCTCTTACTCACAGCACACTTGACTGCTACAGGTGAGTGGGGTGCTGATGGGGCTAAATGAGGCTCCTGTGTAGCAGCAAGCCTTGCGGTCTCAGGATTTCCACACTTTCGGAAATGTCTGAGAGTGACTGAAGGGCTTTTGTTTATGGGGCTTATGCTGATCAATATGGTTGGATTAGCTGTTAAAACAGGAAATGTGAAAGCAGAGGACTCCAGGGAACATCCCAAGGGAGGAGTACCCCTGCCACTGCCCCGTCCCCCCACTCCCCCGCCACCCCCCTCAGAGAGCTCTGACTTTCACCAGAGACTGGGAGTGAAAGAGCCAGTGCAGCCTTTGGTTATTCTAAAAAGTCCTTTTTTCAGGTCTTCCAATTCAGATTTTTAAAATTGATTTTTAGCTGAGGTAATATTGGGGTATCCCCATCAAGTATTACCACCACAGTGCACCCACCACCAATGCCCCCATATTCTGCCTCCAGAATATGGAGGCTCCTTTATAGTCTACATATTAGTGAAAGCATTCAGTGTTTATCTTTCTTCTTCTGACTCCATGTTCCACTGTCCTTTCCAGCTCTATCCACGCTGTTGCAAATGGCATGAGTTTATCTTTTTTGATGGCTGAGTAATAGTCAATGCGTATATGTACCACATCTTCTTGATCTGATCATCTGTTCTGGGGCACTTAGTTTTGACCTTATGAGCAGTCCCCTGAGAGGGTCATTGAGACTCCCCGGGGTTCTTATTCTTTGGAAACAGCAGCCTTGACCTCAGGAACTAATGTTCCAGGCAGATCAGTCACAGACAGTAACCATCACTGTTCCTGAACAGGAACAAGAAGGAGCCAGACATGAATCCAGAAAAGTGCTGTGGACTGTTAGGACATACTTGATTGATGACAGTCACCATCACCCATACAATCCTGTCAGTGAACATGGTTATATTGTCTCAGCTGGTTGGATGTCCTTAGTGGTGGTGAAGGAGGGTGAAGAGGAGGAGAAGGGGGAGGGTTATTAAACTGCAGTGGCCCGAGTGCTTGAGGACAGGAGGAATGTAATGTTTGTGGGAGCAGATTTGATAGCCAGACACAACTTTGTATTTGGGAAATGAAAGAAATAATTGTTCTTGGACTAAGAACTAAAACTTGAAAAACCGTCCAGAAGGGAGGTTAGAGAGGAGAATGCCGCGAGTCTCAGTGGAGAGATGGGTGAGAGTTTAATATTTATCAAAGACGAAGATCAAGGGCACGCAACTCTTGAGTTACTATTTCCATCTTCCTTTCTGCCGTAGGTATTAACTCTCTGATAGCAAACCATATCTACGAGGCCGCCTACCCTCTGCATGATGTAAGTGTACTCCCGGTGGCTGGCTCCTCTTGTCTCCCAATAGTGGCAGGTCACGGCGGGATGTGAGGGAGGGAAGGTGACTGCAACACCAGGCTGATTCTGCCCTGCTCATGACTGACAGTAACCCATGGTTTGATTTTTGCCAATGGTCTCAGACCCTTTCCAGTTATTTCCGTGATGGCAAAATGCACCGGTTCTTATCGGAGCATCGCTTACACTGCCTAGCAAGGCTTAGATGACAGCGTGCAAAGGCAGGCTTGGCACACAGCGGCCAAAGAGGGGAAGCGGGTGCTGTGAGGAAAGCCAAAGGCCTGAAAATGCACACCCTTAGCTGTCCCACCCTCAGATGACCGCCAGTCCCATTTCGTATGCGATAGTGTGGAATTCCTCACTTAATGCACCACGTACACGTGTCTCCATATATTAATTTTGAATTTTAACATTGTTGGAGGCAGTGCTGCTAAATTCTTCATACTATTGTTTAGTCAAGAAAACGGGCTGTAATTAAAGTTTCCCTTGGCGGGGGTTGGTGGTGGCATAAATACTTCGCAGTGCCTTGCACTGACATTGGTCCATATGATGGATGAAGAGCTTGACTGAGCTAAATGCCCACTGGTCATGGACTGGCCACTTTTTTAGTATCTGCCTCCCAGTGGTGCCAAAATGGGGCTTCTGGGGTCCCTGGAGTGCCCAGAGGAATCTCTCAGATGATAGTTTTCTCCTTGCCTAGCCTGTCCTTTCTGGGGGGTTGGTGCCACAGGAGTCCTGTGGGGCGGGGGTACAGGTCACGGCAGGTGGCGGCAGGGTCCGGGGTGCTTTTGAAGGACACACCAGCCCTTTTGCAGGCCTCGGCTTTACCCTTGCGCTTGCTGTGAAGAGGCACAGGCTGAGCTCCGAGGCTTCTGTGGGGTGCGTCTTGGTGTGAGAAACTCCACAGGAAACACTGCAAGTGTTAGTGACTAACGATGGAGAGCATTCTCCCTGTCCATGTCATACTCCGGCCTTCCTTAAACGGGGCTGCAAGGAGAGTATGTTAGGCAAGAACAAGAAAACCCTCGTTGTGAAGTGGAGAACCCCACTGGCCTTACCCCGCATCCTCTCCTCTCCTGCAGGGTGAATATGACTGTCCCGGAGATGACATGAACGACAGAAAGGTGAGTCAGGTCTATGCTGCTGCAGACCACGTGGGGGTAGTGCTTGGTGGCGCTGTCCTGGGTGTCCGCTTTGCCTGGGGACCGGTGCTGCTGACCGTCCAGTAGCCCCGTGCCAAAGGGCTCCACTAAGAACGGCTGAGAGGCCGTAATTGAGAGATGAAGAAACTGGTCCAGGAAGACTGAACACCTTGCCCCCGGCCACATGGCCCCTGAAACCCAAACTGGACTGAAGGCCCCGCGGGTCTCCAGTCCAGGGAGTGGGCGCTCTCATCCACACTGTTAGGCTTTTCTCTTGGTCATCTTCAAGTGATTCTCTTTGCGTGTGGCCACTCTCCAGTTAGAGATGACGAATCTGGGGTGGGAGACAGGCTCACGCTGGCATTCTGGGCAGCCAGGGCAGGAGGAGTCGTTAGGGGTGGGGGGGAATCCCCTTGGAAGGACCCCTGCTGTGCCAGGCACAGCTTTCCATGCACAGCCCTCTCATCAGCCGCCACCTCCATCCTGCCGGCTTCCTGATGCTCTGGCACGCGGGTGTGCTGCCTCCCTGCCAGGGCTGGCGCTGTGGGGCGCGCCCAGACCGTCGTGGGGACTGCCCCATCCGCTGTCACCCCCTCGCGCCAGCCCCCTGCTCTGTCTCCCCTGCTCCAGCAACTCTGTTGAGCAGAGGAGAGTGGGCAAGGGTGGGAGGGATGAGGGACTGAAGCCCACAGAGTCTCCCTCTCCCCACTCCGTTGTCTGGAAAATCAGTCATCCCCCAAGTTGCCTTTTGAGCAGCCTTCTTTTTATCCTGCCTATTAGTCCCTGTTATGAAGTGTTAAGTATTAAAAACATAAAAGGTCTTTTCCAGAAATACTGCCGTGATTGCTTACACATGTCCCCGCTCTGCCGGCCCAGAGAATCTGCTGTAGTATTTCGATGTCTTAACCTCATCTGTTTTCTATCTGATGCTAATAGTCTCGGCGTTTAATTTCCTGAAAAGTCCCGGATCAGATTTAAAGGCAAAGGAGGAAGCATTTCTCCTCACATCTCACCTCTCTCACCCCAGCCTTTTTCTGTCCCCCCCCACACTCTCCTTTCACCTCCCTCCCCTTTAAAGAGAGACTGCCACCCATGGCCCACCTAGATCACCTCCTGCTGGGTGGGTGGTAACCTGAGCAAGGCAAGGCAGAGCACTTTACAAGAACTTTCCAGAGACTAGGAACGCACAGTAACTCGTGGGGGAGATCATCCAACCCTCTGCTATCTACACAGAGGCAGAGAGAAGCAAACTGTTGGCTGCCCAAAATACCTGCATCTGTACCCCCGGAGCAATATTATATGAGTATCAACTTCTGTGAAAGCTTTTAACCAAGATTTTCCTCCCGGGAAATGGTCTTTCACCAGTGGGATGGTCGCCAGTGTGCAGCCCAGTTGGGAGAGTGGGCTCAACCCGGGAGGCCAGAGAGATCAGCCAGGATGGAGACGCCCGTGGGGAATAACCCCCAACACTGGTGTCGTGAGGATGCTTGTTGAAGGTGGACAGCGAAGACGAGCCCACTTTCCTGTGGCTCTTCCTTGGGTTTCCTGCCTAGTCCTGGAGTCTGTATTTTTTCTGCCAGAATCTTGATTGGGGACCTAAATCATACTGTGACGGCAGATCAGAGAAACCATGAGTGGAGCTGGAAGCTTTTACTGTCTTTTTGGGTTGAGAAACTGACACCCAGCGAGGCCAGCAGACAGGTTCTCGTGTTCAAAAGTGATTGGCAAGTCAGGGCTAAATTGGGCTGGCCCCAGCAGCCAGTCCTCAGCTCCTGTGCCTGGCACAGCCGCCCTCACTGTGGCACTGGGTTCACTCTGCGATTTCCAAAGCGCACAGATGGGGAGGGCCTACAAGGTTTTCTAAAGGAGGAAGAGCGCAAACTTCTGGATAAAGGCAGCATATTGACTCAGTTTTATATGATACCAGCCTAGTGTTCTTCAGGAGGCCGCAGGGAGGGTTCCGAGGCCTAGGGAACGTGGAGAGGGTCCGGCACTGTGCTGTGGGGCAGCCCTTCTGGGTGCCTTCAGGGATGAAGCCATCCGCACTGACCATCCTGCCAGCGCCTGGCAGTTCTTCACTCTCCCCGGCCACGTGCAGCCGATCACTTGGTCTCCCCGAGGCCCAGGCTGCTCCGAGGTAGGCCTCCTGCAAGCCCAGAGGCCCCTGAGAATGCCTTTCCTTCCCTGCCAGCCTGCCTAGAGCAGTCCTGATGACTCACCCCAGCTTGGGGCTGGGAGTCTCTCTCCTTTCCTGGAGGGTAATTATGGAGAGCCTCCCTCCCTCTGGAGCGCGGGGTTTCCCGCCTTCTAGCAGGTCAGACGGTCGCCTGGGTATGGATAGGAGCCTCCTGGCTGCTGGAAGCCACTTCATTCCATGCTTGCTCAGCCTGCCTGGTCTTGAGCATCCGGGCATCTCTCTGGCCGAGACCATCTCCCAGGGCCGCCTGAGCCACCAGCCTACTGGGCTTCCTTACCCAAGGTGCATCAGAATGTGACTTCCTTAGCAGTTTTTGAACCATGTCTGGGATTTTGTAGCTTTTGTTGATGATCCTCTTCCCTAGTGGGAGGTCATAGAGTGAAGAGGGTGAAGGCACCCAGATGGACTGCCCCCCAGCATAGCGCTGGACCCCCTCCACATTCCGAAACCTCCAAACCCTCCCGCAGTCTCTTGAAAACACTATGCCGGTATCATATAAAACCAAGTCAATATGCTGCCTTTATTCAGAAGATTGACTCTTCCTCCTTTAGGATACCTTATTCTTTGTAGGCCCTATGCATCTGTGCACGTTGGACATTCTAGAGTGAGCCAGTACCGCAGTGAGGGTGGCCATGCCAGGCACAGTGTTGGCTAGGGTCACCTGCTTTCTGGCAGGAAAGGCACTTCCTTCTTAGTTTTGCCTGGCATCCATTTGGCTACCCTGTGTACCTCTGGTTTTTATTAGTGGAGAAGTCAGATAGTCAAAGTGGTTTGCTGAAAATTGAAACGAGTCATTACAGGACGGCTGCTGTGCAGGCCACCTTGTGTCTTGAGTATTCTCAGTTGTCAACCACTGGGTCTTGCTATCTCAGGGTCAGCTGCTCGGAGGAGCCTGGGCCTCAGAGAGGCCACAAGCCCAGACGCGCAACCATGCTCTGACCTTGCGATGGCTTCCACGGTTGGTTCCTTTCCAGTTTCTGATCCCTCAGATGGGGTGTTCTCTGTGGGGTGTTGCTTCTCGCAATGAAGGTTTGGGGTCAGTCAGACCTGCCTGGAATGACATCTGGGCCTCTGAAATCAGGCACCATCTGCAGGCTTCATCAGTCAGCAAACAGGGCTTGGCGGACCTTTAAGGGAGAAAGCGGATTTGCAAAGAGTGACATTAGAAGTTTCTAGAGTCTGCAAGGTTAAGGGACTGTGATCAGCCACAGTACTTGTCCTGTGCTAATCCCGGAGGGACAGAGCTCTAGCATCCACCTCCCTTCCCCCAACGTGAGTCTATTTTGGACCCGATAACCTGGAGTGTAGCTTGATCCACTTGTCTCTAACTAGGTGTGAGTGAACATTTGTAGAGCTAGGGGAAGCTCTGTTGACACTCCACCCTCTCTCGGCCTCCCTGCCTGTTACAGGAGGATGCATGAGCTGGGCTGGGTGGAGCCATGTGGATGTCCAGGGCTAATTCTAGAGCCCTGCTCACACCTGCGCGCCCCTGCTCCAGCCTTGCAGGGACAGCCTGCTGACCCCCACTCTGTCTGCCTTACCCTGTGTGCAGCTCACACAGCCCCCTTGCCTCCTCACACATATCCACAAACTAAGTGCTTTGAAGATTCCACACTGAGGAAAGGACTTTCTGGAGGTCTGGGATCCTTTTGAGGATCAGTAAGGCCTGTGAGCTTGATGCTTGGTTTGGGCCTGTGTGGATGGGTTATGGAGTGTTTTTAGTTCTCCATTCAGGAAGTGGCATCTAGATGTTCTCCAGCTCAGGTTGGGTCTGACATGTACTTTGGAGAGGAATTTGTTCTGGAGGTCAGAGCCTATGGGGCGGGCAGTGACGTCCCACAGCCCCCCAAGGGGGGCCTTGCCCGTATCTCCTGACGCAAGCAGGCTTCCCTTTGGGCCACACATGAAGTCACTGTGACAACCAGGTGCTGGTGAGCCCAGGCTTTGCACTGGGGAGAGGGAATGACCCCACGGGAGTAGTCACCCAAGATGTGGCAGGGGTGAAGGGGAGAGGGGAATGTCACAATGAGATGGGGAGGAGCCCCCCGCCTGCACGGGGTGGCAGTGGTCTCATGAATGTAGCCATCCCTCTGCCCACCAGGCTCTGGGTGGCTCCTCCTTTGCCAGTGGGCACATCTGGTCTATCAGGGTCAGTGTAGTTTCTGTTTCTCTTTTGTGACTGTTGGGAATATATTTCCATTATGTGGGCATGCCAGTTCTCATCTCAGTTTTAAAATTAGGCCTCTGAAGTTTTTTAGGTTAGAAGGATGGATTTCTATAGAGCTGATGTTCCCCTGGAGCTCCAGAGTTCCTAAGGACAGTAGGTTCTCCTTGATGGAATTTCTTGGGAGTTCTCTGTTCTGTCTAAGAACCTATGATGTGTCAGGAGAATAAGGAACACAATGAGATGCAACTATTAGCATGACCTTGTGCCAATATCTGCTCAGCTCAGCTGTCTCTATGTCTGGTGATGACCTAGTCCCAACTTCCTTCATTTCCTGGTGGGTGACCTGTGAACCTCCAGGCAAGGTGGTCTGCCCCTGGACTTAAATACAAGTTTTGTCCACATGCCAGTTTGGCGGAAGTGGCCAGTAAGCATCACAGAGTATCTGGCCTGGTACCTTGCTGTACCGTTCCCACACTTAACCTCTAGAACACGTGCCACTAAAGTTTTGCCCCCATGTCTCCACCAAAACAACGCTGATTGTGGTTATCAGGGACCAATCAAGTCACCACACCCAGCAGTCTCTCCCCCATTCTCCCCTGACCTGACCCATAGCAATATTTGGCATGGTTGGGCCTGTTCTTCCCACAGCCCATCATCCTTGGCTTCCAGGACTCCACACAGTCTGGTTTCCTTCCTCACTGCTGACTACCCTTCTGACCTCCTGGCTGTTCTCCTTTATCCCTTGACCTCTAAATGTTCCTCTACCTACCCTCTTCCCTGGTGACTGCATCCAGAGTTTACTGGAGTCACAGATTTTCTCTTTGCTGACCACTCCCAGGTTATATCTCTTGTCCGGACTCTGCTCCTGCCCCTTCCCACCACCTCCTTCTCCCCCAACCCACCATGGCTGCCTAGCCAATACCTCAGGTGCACACATCTCAGAGTGAGCTTAGCTCCAGTCATCCTGACCGTTCTTCCGGTCAGTGAAGTTCTTTTAGTCAAGGGCCTGCCATTTACCCAGTTGCTCAGACTGAGTTCTTGTCTTCTCTCCCTTCACCCCCCCATATCCAATCCAACAGCAAAACTTGGCTCTACCTTTAAATTATAAGTGGACTCAACCACTTTGAATTAATCTTCCCACTGCTCCCGTGGTTCGGGCCAACACCCTCTCTAGCCTAGGCCACCACGTGGGACCCTCCTCCAGTGTCAGCTGAGTATGTGCTACACACAGCAGCCAATGGAGCTTCTTGCAGCCTAAGCACTTCTCCCCCCTCTCCCAGACCCCAAGGCTTTCTTCAAGGCCCAAAGGTTTCAGCATGGCCACAAGCCCCTTGGTGACCTGTGGCCTCAGTCCTTCCTGCCGCCATCTTCCTTGACTCCTGCACCCACTCTGTCCTGCCACGCTGCTCCCCTGTTCTTCCTCGGACACCCCACGCACTTTCCTCAAGGCTCTGTGCTTTGAGGGTCGTTCTAGTGTTCCAGGCTCTGCACACCCTGATTTCCTTCTCCAGTGTCCCAGCTCACTGTCACCTAGTCAGTGTGGCCTTCCCTTGCCATTCTATCTGAAGTAACAACCCCCCATTCCTTCCATCACATTCTGGTCCTCACTTTGGTTTATTTTCCTTTATGGCATTTATGGGTTTTCATATTTATCAAATGTTCATATTCGTTTCCACGCATGGAGGTATAAACTCTCTGATGACCATGACTTTGTGTCGTTTCCAGCTGTAGCCAGTATCTAGCACATAGTAGATGTTCAACTAGCATTTGTCAAATGTGCAAATAAACTACCATTTTTCTGGACAAGGCAAGGCAGAGGAACAAGTGGGTGCTAGGTGTAGCCTGCCCCAGCGTGGAAGAGGTCACTGTATCATCTGGGGAAAAGTCAGTTTCTATAGCCTCTGCCCTTGGCCCTCTGCCTTGTGGTGTCTCGTGAGATTTCTCTTAGCAGCTGAGCTTTGGGGAGACAGTGTTGACTTGCTAGGGTAGACATAAGAGGAGAAATACTTGCTTTCCTTTAGCACTAACGTTCCTCCTGTTTTTCTTGTTTAGCTGCTGTATCAAGAATGGGCTCGCTACGGAGTGTTTTATAAGTTTCAACCTATTGACCTCATCAGGTAAGATGTAGGAGTGGACTCTTGGCAGGGTCCTGAAGTTGTGAATCCTGAAAGATACTTTGTCAGCCCTCTTGGGTCCTGCCAGTCTGTTGATCAGCAGAAGGTTCTGCTTTTCTGGGTTGGCTGCTCCTCTCATTCATGGCTTGAGGGGTTGGGAAGCAGCTTGGGGGCGGGGGTGGCCTGGCGGCCACATGGCAGTGGGCTGGCATTCTGTGACTTCCAACACAAGACCTGCAGCACTGTGGTCTCTCTCTTGGCCTGACTTTTGGAAGGGGTGTGTGTGGTTGGTTTCCTTCACAATTGTCCTGCATCTCGGTGAAGCAGATCCTTGGATTATATCCAGGTGGCCACTCAGTGTTGAGCAAGAGAGAGAAAGATCTGGCAGATTTCATGGGACAAGCCAGCTGACCTGAATGGCGACCTTTGATGGCTTCTCCAGATGAAGGGGGAGAGGAGGCTGGTTTCTACAATCTCTCACTTCAGTCTGCCCCTAAAATAATGCCTTGTTACTTGGTGCCCTGGAAACTCCCCCACCATCTGTAGAACATTGGTAATAAGCCCTCTGAAAGAACTTACTAGAAGCTGTCGGTCTGACTAGCCTCAGATAGGTTGAGGGTTTTAGAAATTCCCTGGATTCCTAGAGCCCAGTCTCCTCCTGGCCGGGATGTTGGGGCGCAACACTGTGAAGTGGGGAAGCCCTGTGCCGCACTGTACAGAAGGGGTTCTCATCCAGGCCTGGCCACCTTGGGCAAGTCTCATTGTCTCTGGTCTTTAGGAGGCTACTGTCCTAACCTGGGGGGCTGACCTGAGGGGCCTGTTCTGGGCTTTGGTCATGCCTGCTCAATTGGAAAAGTGGGGGACATCAGGCCCCTTGACAGACACGACGGACTCACTGCAATATGGTTGCTTGTGGCTCTTCGGATGAGCTAATTAATCAGCCAGCGAAGACAGAGAGTGTTCCTGGCTGATGGCCCTGGGCTGGGCTTGTGAGAGGGGCAATGGCCAGCAGGACTGAGTCCAGAGGGAGGAATTCCAGCTTCTTCGAGAAGAAAGCAGCTGGGGCCCCAGTTTGGGCAGGTCCCCCGCCCACACAGAGATGTGACTCTCTCCCAGGGAACTGGGAGCTGATTGGGGGTCTCTTGATGGCAGGTGTCTGTTCCAGCTGAAGACCATTAGCTACAGCACTCTGGTTGGGGAGCAGGGCCATGGGTGCCGGTAACGGGGGCTCCATGCGGACCCTCGCCTTCCCTGGCTGCCTTTTATGAGGCCCGGGCCACCTAGACTGTTCTCTAGGCCACACCAAGACTGCTTCCTTCTTGCTTGGTGGACTTTGTCCTCTCTGTGTCTCCGGGGGCCACCCACGCTGTCGCTGATTTACTCTACTCATTCATGGCTTATGAATGTGAGTTACAAAACACAAGGCTCCCTACCAAAGAGCCCTGTCTTTCCTCAGAGACGTCAAGCGACTGGCTGCCAGTAAGTGGGGAATGGCCCCGCTGTGCACTCACTTTGGCCACCAAGGCAGTGTCACCTGCAGGGAAGACTGGCCTTTGGAGCCAAGCCCCGTGCTGGGGCCTGCATGTCCCAAGCGCCATGGCTTGGATCTGTCTAGACAGGGCCGCGTGCATTGTGAGCTGAGGTGCGCACTGTTCTTCAAAGATTAGAAGGTGCAGGGGGTCCCTGGCCCATGGGCAGAGCACTGTGGCCGGGAGTGGGGCGGGCTGGAGCCTCAGGCCTCTCTGGACACAGGCTGGAGGTGAGGGAACAGGACAGTGGGTATGTGAGGGTTGGGGTTCTTGTCTCCCCACTGACTAAAGAGCTCTCTGACTCCAGGAAACCGCTGTAGAGAAGGTGACACAGAGGGAAGCCGTGGGCATGTGGAGGGGCAGGGTGCAGGTGGGCACCAAGACAGGGAAGCGGAGAGCGGCCTGGAGGCTGGCGAGGACAGCAGGTGGGCACGGGCTCACACTGCTCCCCAAGCCCGTTGCGATCTGCCTCCAGGTGGCTCAGCTCACCTCATCTGCTTCTGTCGAAGCCACCTTCTTCCTCCTTTCCGACATCTGCCCTCTCGCTCTCCCTCCCTCTGTCTGAAAGGAAGCCCTGTGGGTGCTGCTCAGCGTCGCTTCTCTCTGCCGCTTCTCCTTGCTCGTGGGTCCTCTTGGCGCAGAGAGCGGGCGGTGTCCAGGAGTGCGCTCCATGACTGACCTGCTTACTGGCGCAGGCTGCGCTCTCTGTGCCTCCTGCAGAAATCGTCCCCATGTGGCCTGAGTGGGAAGCGGCTCAGAGGCAGGGGGTCTTAAGCAAGTGGTGCAGTGGTCCGTACAAAGGTCCTAAAGGCATTTTCTACCTATTTCCTTGAGCTCAATTTTAGCACCGAGATGTTGCTCCTCCCATGGAGTCAGAGTCCTCATGCCTGACCAGTCATCTGGAACATTCTAAAGCAATGAGCAGTTGAGAAGGCCGTGGGGCAGGAGATCTGTGCATTCTGAAAGCCCCAGGGCTACCTACCCTTCCCCTTCTGCAGGCCTTCAAGCCTAAGCATGAGACTTGGGGTTTGTGGTTCCTTTCCCAAGTGTTGAAAGTGGACGGGGGGACACATAGGTTGCCCTTCCCTGCACCCCGGCCCTGCCTTCTCCTGCTGCACTGTCCTTCCTGTCCAGCAGGCTGCACTGTGAGACCGCTCATGGCCGTCTCCCTGCCTGCTGGGCTCTCACCCCTTGCTACCTTTTCTCTACCATGCTTGGGGCCTGCAGACCTTTGCACAGCTCTGCGCAGAGCTGAGTGTGTGTGTGTGTAGCTGTGGCCTGTAAAGTTATCGAGGGAGGTGTCTCGCGGGGGCCCACTTTGCAGTAGCTCCTTCAGGGGACTCTGCCCAGCTGAACTGGACCTGGCAGAGACATGGTTTGTGACAAGACAGTAGGGGAGGGGGAAATGATGCCTGGGTTGGAGGAAGCGACTCTGCTAGCCACTTGGGAATCTTTGGGGGATCCTTGTAGCCAGAGAAGTTGATTCCCCTCCACTGCTCAGGGTAAGCCCCAACATCCCGGCAGAGAGTCTGTCTTTGTTTTCTGGGAGTCTGGGGCTCTTTGCATTTGTCCAGGTATGACCACACATGAGCCAGGGCCATTTTCACTAAAATCAGGGCAGATTTTCTCAGCTTGCAGGTTTTGAGGGGGATGAGACAAAACAATATAGATGTGAAGCTCATTCTGAGTTTGATGTGAGGCCCAACTATGTTTTGCTGAGGTTGATGTAAATGTTTTATTTCTAAACATCTTCCACTCCCTGCCTTGGCCAGTATGAAGAGGAGGGTGTCCAGGCGTCCACCTGGCTCTAGAGGTGGCAGCTGGGAAATCCACCGAGGGCAGTTTTCTCTGTCAGGAGCACAGTCTGGACAGAGGTGAATGGCTCCATCCCAGCTCTTTCCACAAAAGATCCTTCGTGAGTAAGGCTTTCTAGGAGTCAGACCCTCGACATAAAGCCTGACCGGTGGCAAATCGGCATTCTCTTTAAAAAACGCCCTGCTTTGCGAGGGCCCTCCCTGGTGGCGCAGCGGGTTAAAGCACTGCACTAAGAAGCTTAAGCCACTTCCACATGAATTCGATCCCTGCCTGCCCCGGAGGTGACCACAATGCGCCGGCAGACCTTTCTTGACGCGCCTCTTCCCCGCCCACTGCTCCCCTCAGCAGTGTACTTCGTGGATCTGCCTGTTCTGCTCCCCGCTCTGTCCCTGGTGAATCCTCTCACCCTCTGCATCTCTGGCCTGTGCCCCAGTTCTGTATGAATAAATAAATCTTAAAAAAAAAAAAAAAACAAAACAAAAAACGCCCTGCTTTGCGAAATGAACAGCCTGTACCATGACCCGAGAGGGATAGCCAGGGGCTGGCACCATCTCAAGAGCTTTCGGGTGTCATTTGTGGGCAGCACGAGTGTCACTGTGCCCACACAGCCACACAGCCCTGCCTCTTAGCCCTGCCTGCTCCAGCCCTGCCCGGGCAGCCCTATCCAGAAGCCGCCGTCTCAGGCTTTCACCTTCCTTCCTGCTGCCAGGCAGAGGCCCTTGTCCTGGCCAGTGTTCAGATGACCAGCAGAAGGCTGAGGGGTTTGGTCCACCCCTCTCCATCCCCACTTCTACAATGTGACCCATCAAATCCTCCAGGGGCGAGCCAGAGGAGGCCACATGCTTCGTTAGGGGTTTAAGAAAGCGCTGGCCACAGCTGGTTTGGGGGAGGGGACCAAGAGGAAAACAATGTTGATCAACGGGTGATTAATTATTTCCTGAGCCTGCTGCCGCCTAGATCCTTCCCTTGGATTTATAGAGGCAATTCAGCTCCATGCGGTAAACATTTAATGATGCTTACAGAGAGCAAGGCTCTAACGGCTCGGCAGTGTGGGGAGGCGCAGCAGTAAATAAGGTGGAGTTTGTGCCCTTAAGGACCCAGCATTTATGTGGGGAGACAGATGTGTGCAACGAGGCTGGGTGAAATGAGGGCTTGTAAGGATTCCAAGAGTAACACGACAGTAAAGACAACTGATGGAGAGTAATTGCTACTGGCAGAATAAGGGAAAACTTCCTGGAAGAGGAGGCACTTGAATTAGAAACACTGCGCTGAAGGTCAGTGGCTAAAGTTTCCAAATGCGCCTTTGCCAGCCTGTGTGATGCTGTGCGCAGACTGACAGTGATAGCGGAAGTCACGTGGCCCCCAGCCAGGAGGACTGGGCATGCTCAGGTCAAGGCCAGCATATTTCCCTGGTTGGAATCTGCACTTACCTGGTCTGTTTTCCTTGCTTTGTCCTCTAAGTGAGCAGGGAACCCAGGGTTGGAAGGAGGTGAGGTTGGACGCCAAATCAGAGCCTCAGGAGAGATGAAGCACGGAGCTTGCACTTTGGTCTTCACACAGGTCTCAGCCCAGAAACATTTTGTAGGGTGGAAACGAATACTATCTCATGGGCTTGAAGAATGATTTTCTTTTATTGCTGAGGGTGTGGGGCAGAGTAGA